TCCTTCCGTTTCACATTGAAATAAACAAAAATAATCTAAAATAAAATCTCTATTTTTTTCTCAATTATTTTATCTCCCTAGAACATGCGAGTCAGCTAGGATTATGTAATTCATGAGCTCACCATCATAACAAGTACCGCAAATTAAAGCAATTCTGTAAAGTTCATCAAATCAGAAAAACAACACGGACTGTTCACACAAGTGGGCTTGTGGTTTCAGAGGCGTTTTGGTTGGGGACTTGCGTAAAGCTGCGTTTAGTTCGACAAACATTAGTACTGGAGAAAAATAGTAAACACTGTGTGACCAAACTTTGGATTACTTTGAGTGTCTCATAAAGTAAAGAAATGACAGACTATGGTCCTCTTCCGTAGGATTTGATTCTGAAGTTGAAGTGTTATATCTCAAATAGAGCCATTACTAAGTAAATGTAAATGTACGTGTCTAGTTCCAACTTCCAACTGAACTTGATCGCAGGTATCAAGAGGACCACTTACCGACATTCCTTGATCACAAAAGGTTGCAGAAGTCCTTCCTTGCGGTTTCAGAATAATTTATAATTGGATAGTGATGCCCAATTGTTCATGTAAGGGAAAGCTTCATAGCTAAAAGCCATAGAAGATGGAAATTAAGAAGCCATTCTTATAATTAACCAAATACCCAGACCCATTAATCAATTGATTCAGTTCGTACTATTCCTAGTCAGGGCTCGGGACACAAGAGATGTTGGTTCAGTTTAGGGGTGTTAACGGATCAAATTTGAATCCGATCAGGTAATATCTAAATTCGAATCCGATTAAAAGAAATTCAATATCCGAATTCGATTCGATATTCAATGGATATTGAAAATTAATATTCGAATATTCGATTTGAATTTGATTAATTATATATTATATATAAGAATTAAATAATTAATCAAATTCGGATATATATCGAATCGAATCGAATCAGGTCATATCCAAATTTGAATCCGATTAATTATTCGACCGATTAAATATTCAAATTATCTAAATTTGATTCGATTATATCGAATATTGAATTCAAAATCGAATTTTCGAATACCATCGACACCCCTAATCCAATTGCCTTTCACAATCTGTTCCAAAGCCTATATGGATGTGGTATTGCCACTCTCCACTTCTTTCTTCTAGCCCTTTCGAAGTTACCTTGTCAATGAGGCCTACTCTTGGGGCCCCCTTGATTTTGTACGTGGGAAGTGATGCAAATGATACGTGACTGACTGCCTGGTTCAGTCTAGGTCCATTAATGTATAACGTTCCAAATGGGGAAATGAACACTCAGATCACTGGTCTTTCTGGCCCTTCTGGGTGGGTAATGCCTTCTGATTCTGAAATATGGAATCAAACAAACCACAAGCAACTATCTATAATATTTCATGGGCATGCAGCTATGGCCGACCCAATCTGAGAAGCCAGACTAGGCACAATCTAATCAGACCAATACGGAGGCTGGCACGAGTTCAGTATCTTTACCTGTCCAAGAAATAGAACAAAGACAAGGAAAAGGATCACTTTTTGGTCTGCTCAGTGCCTCAGTGGCACTTCAACCAGATTTGGCGATTATTTTGTGATTCAACGATCTCGTCCGACTGCTCCCTTTAACTGGAACCAGTTCGTCTTGAAAAATTTCCTTATCCATTACTTCAGAAACCTTGAATCGTTCACTTTTCTGTTTGTATTCTTCCAATCATATTTCTTCTCCATTCAGAATGATTCCGCTTTGCTAAAAAATGATTTTTGAGATGAATGTTCAATAAAAAATTAGAAATGATCATTATAACGAGTATTTATAAATATCAATGAGATGAATGATCTATCAAATCCATTATTCCATGTTTATATAAAAAATGATTTTTGATTTTTGGTTTTACAGAAATAAAATATCTAAAAACATTAATTGTTCTAGTAATGAAAATGTATGAATTTGCATATAATATGTATCTTAGAAATTCTAATAAATTTAATATTTTTAAGCCAATACTATATATATTATTAATTAATATTTTCTTTGTAATAAATTACAACAGATTTATTATTTACAGAAATAAAAAATATTTAAGAATTTAGGATTTAATTGACTTATTCTCATGAATCTGATATACTTTTCAGATTAACTATATATTTTTATAATTATTAATTAATAATTTAACTTAAATAAATAATAAATATTAATGCTTCCATACATGTAATAATTTGTAAAAATCTATATAGTAGGTGTCTTTTTTGGTAAGAATATAGTATGTGTGATGTGTCTTGGACACTTGGTTGATGCAATATAAGTAAATTGTACAAAATCTATGTATCTCGCTATAGAGTGTAACCTTTTTTTATTTAAATTATGAAAGTATGCTTTTAGGGGGTGTTTTTTATTCCGATTTTGAGAGGGGGGAAAGTTGGTCAATGGGATTTTGGTTCTCATTGACTAAGAATCCCATGTTCTCTTTTCAGATTTATGTGGATATCAGGAAAAGTTTATTTTCCTGTGTATCATTTACCCGGGTAAGTGATATCCATCTCCTAGGTGGGTAAATAACTTTCCCACCTAGGGGGGAAGTTGTCAACACTTGAATGGGACAAAAAAGTCCTTTTTAATAATGGATTTTTATGGCTAAAATGGTCATTACCTTATTTACATGAGAAATTAAAGAACATGGATAAATGCACTTACCCGGGCAAGTGTTTCCTAGGAAACATTTACCCAAATAACTACATTTACCCAGATAAGTAACTTACCGAAAAGCAAATAGGGCTTTAGTATATTAATATCTTATTTATGGTTATTTCAATTTGTGGTATTTGTGGGAATTTCCTTTTTGTTGGTAAGAATTTCCCTAATGTATATAAATGTATCCATATCTTTTCACTATATCCATGCACATCCAAAACCTATCACAAATTGCAATATGCATCTACTTCCAAGTTACTGATATAATACATTGATGATACCATTATTTGGAGCCTTGGAAGTCTTTATTGGCACAGCCATACAAGATTACTCCACATGGCTAAAATAGCTCATATAGGTAAGCTCTTTTTGGACAGGTTAGCTGAGTGGTTTATAGGTTAATTGATTTAAGAACAGAGGCTGGCTGGATTGGGAAACCTGAAATCCACTTTGATCTATTCCTATTGAGTTGGGTTTAGGTCAGCTCTAACGGTGGTTTTTGGGCTATGTTGTAATCTTTCTACTTCTTTGAGGGAGAGTTAAGAGAATTTACCTCTCCCCGCTTATGTATTTATTCTTTTTTTTAATGAAATGGTTATGTTATTGATAAAAAATGGTGTGTTGGGTCAGGTTAGATCAAGTTGGGATCTGCTTGGGAGGGGCCAAGCTTTGATTGAGCTGCTTTGGAAAAGCTACTAAAAGAAGCTTCAGCTTGGCTGAAAGACAGTTATGGGATGTTCAAGTGGGGCCTACCTCATAAAGCCAGATGCTATTACCTCAAAAAATTGGGATCTGTTCCTCACAGAGTGCACCTCACAGCCACATCCCACCCTGTACTAGGAACATCTCCCCATGAATAATAAGTATGGGAGATGTTCCCGATGTACAGCCAGAACATGATGTGAGGTCGGTGTAAGGCTTGCTGTGAGGATCAGATCTGGACTCTACCTCAAAGCCCTCCCAAATGAGCACTAAGGGCCTGTTTCTGAGGTTTGAATAGCTTTGGAGAAGCCATTGAAAGAAGCTTCAGCAGAAAGCCTTGTTTTTGGCTTTCTGACAGCCATTTGGGACTCTCCCGGTTTTCACCAAAAATGGCTTGTAGGCTCAGGGTGGGGTCCACTTTAAAAAGCCAGAGTTGCTGTATGAAGGCCTTCCCAAACAAGCACTAAAAGAAGCTTAAGCAGAAAGCCATATTCCTAGGAGTGAGATATATTTTGTGCTTGCTGGTCCTCGTAAAGCCAGAAACAACTGCACTAAAGGCCTCCCAAACTGGCACTTTACCTAACTTGCAAAGGGTTCAGATAATGCCGAACCTAACCTATTGACATCACTGCATAGTTTCTGTTTTTTTTTTTCCACATTGTTCCAGCTATTATGATGTTGCCGGCCTAGTTATTAAGAGTTACAATGTGTTATGTGAGTCTCTCTATTGTTAGAAGAACAGAAAACACATTTTTTATTGTTCAAATAAAAGCTGAACTGAAACTTTGTTGTGAACCTTCATAAATCTTTAAACAAAAAATCTTTCCTAAATACACAAGCGACAGATTTTCAATGAAATATTCACAAAATTTTAGGTGACATAATGACGTTGAGACATTTTTTCTAAATTCATTACCTTCAAGTAAGAGAATGGATACTATTCAGTATTCATGGGTTGATAGGTTCAATACTTAAATTAATTCATTTGGTTGGGGTTGAGGTAAAATCCAAATGGAACCTAACATGTTGGCATCATCCCTGCACATAGGTATCAATACGCACTCCACGATAGAATCCATGGTCTGACCGGAGTACCTGGTCTATATTCTGGGTTCCACCACGCACCAACTTATGCAGTGCAGATTTGGGTTTTGATTTTTTAACAATCAGTGGTAATGTAGCTTGTTGACATGGGGAAGAAGAAAATTAAGATCAAATAAAATAAGAAAGAACAGAGAAATTCAAATTCATTAAATAATAACTTCAGTCCCCAAGAAAGAGGATCCAGTTGAAATAAAGGAAATGGTCATAATCAAACTCAATAAGCATCTGGTGTGACACTATGACTTGTTTTTTAAGTATTTTGCCACTTCACTGAGTTTGCTCTCCTGGAGAAAGTGAGAAACCAATACCATCCACAATGAAAAAATAACTTGAAGAACGAGGTCAAACCGGCTTCAGTAACATAATGACCCACTGGGAATAAAGACCCCAATTCACAATTCAAGCCAGTCAAATTTTATTCTCTCAAAGATATAGCATTAACATTTAACAAAAGAGACAACTAAATGACCATCATGGGAGAAGAGAAAAATACTAGTTTATGCACACAACTCCCACGCAATCAGTCTTCACTTAAAATTCAAAACCAACAAATAGTACAAATCGGGACTAAAGACCCCAATTCACAATTCAAGCCAGTCAAATTTTATTATCTCAAAGATATAGCATTAACAAAACGGACAACTAAATAGCCATCTTGAGGGAAGAGAAAAATACTAGTTTATGCACACAACTCCCACGCAAACAGTTTCCACTTAAAATTCAAAACCAACAAATAGTACAAATCAGTACTGTTTAGGCCGCAATAAAATCTGCCTAACCATTAACCAATTAAGGGATACAAACCCAAAACTAGAGAGTAGGTAAGATGGAATTCAAGTGAGGTCATCCTCTTCTAGCTCCTTTGCCTTCAGTGATTGCTTCACTCTCAACAGAATCGTGGTTTTCCAAGCATCCTAATTAGCAATATGCAGAAATGGAAAGTTCAGAACAGGATGCAGTGGTTGAAAGTCCACACCAAAAAAAAACACTGGTAAGGTATCCACACTGATATGAGCAGAGCAGAATGGTAGAACAGGATTAATGTAGACAACCACATACAATTAGGACTTGGGACTAAGGCTTAGTTGGGTTGAATTGTTTGGTAGTACTAGTTGAGTTGAATTGAGCTTTAGTGAACTACATAGGGGTCCAATTAAATGAAGAGAGAAAGGCTGTTTAAAATAGGGATATATCAAAAAGAATAAAAGAAATACATGGCAATATTTCAGCAACTTGTAGTGTTTCAAGCAATTTGAATACCACAAAAGCCTAAATCTGTTTACAAAGTTCTAGCCCCGGAAAAAAAGGGATGTGCTAACCTCAATCTCTTGCAGCTGAGGAAAAACAGATGGGTAATCTAGAGGCTCATAACTTTCAAATTTATTGAAATGGTTTAAAATTTTATGCATACTCTGGATTGAGATACAGACAATGAACCTGCTGCAGACAATGGACTACCGCAAGGAATGGGCATTGACTGGCTTAGTCCATTGTCTGCAGCAGATTCATTGCTGGAACTGCTGTTGTTTAAACTTATGTCAACAGACATTGACCACCTGCCAGCCTCCATTAAAAATCAATGCTGGCGGTTTGAAGACCTAGGCCAGCGTTTTTGGACCACCAGCACAGAGCTTCTTTGAAGAATGAAAATGAGCAACATAGGGCACAATTATATGATGTTTTATTATATTATATTTATTGAATATACTATTATCAATTTGATGAAATTATTAGACATTTTGAACTTCTTCATGTTATTAATTTTATTTTAATTTACAATCATTAAAACTTCATTTCTATTTAGAAGTTCTCAGCTCTTTTCTTCATTTGCACAACTGCCTACTCAATTCAGCAATTAGTTTTAAATAGTTGCTAATTACTTCCTTTAAATTTTCCTTTTATATTTTCTCTACGCAACCAAATGCAAAAGATTTTCTAGTTTCTATTGTTATTTTTTCTTTTTCATATTTGTGTTATTGATACGGGGCCCACATGGTTCATTTGTGTTTTGTTGGTGTCGTCTTACATATTTGCACTATATAATGAGTATTGTATGTATACCTATATTATTATTTTCGTTGATGAAAAAATAATAGAATTGAAATTTGTAACCAAGCAGGTTAAAATTTTATTCTCATTCTTGCCAAAAAAAGAATTCCTTTTTTTTGGAAAAAAGCATTTCATTTGTATCAAATTTTTCTCATTTTGCCCATTTCTACCCATTTTTGTCCATTTTAGAATTTTATTATTGGAATGAATGAGCAAGAATGAGAATAGAACCAAACATGGCCTAAGTTTTTTATTATTATTATTATTATTATTTTGATAATTAACATGGCTTAAGTTGTTTCCTTTGGGTAATTGCTCATCTGGCTCCCTCTCCAATAATCGAGAATAGCTTCCAAGAAGAATGCCCCTAGCAACTTATTGCATTAGAAATCCTTTCTTTTGCTACTTGCATTAAAGATCCTAGAAACATAATATGGAATAAGGTCCACAGAACAAAAGAACTACTCAATTTGATAATAGAACATCTCCCAATTTCTAATTTTTATCAAGGTCATGATGAATATAACATGCTGGGTATAAATCCATTTTTAATGCAATAAAGTTCTGTTGTTACTAATAAAAAAAATAAATGAATATGACATGCTGGAATAACTTGGACCAATAAAGACAAATGCAAAGATATGCTATTACTCAGAGTGCATTCAACTATCTTCTACCAGAAACTCGAAATAGTCATTAAAGAAATATACCAGTTTGGTCATGCTATCAAATTCCTTGACAACGTCAGTGAATTTCTCAACATCTTCCTCATCGATGGCGGCAGCCAGGTCCTGCCATAATCATGAAAAATCACCAAATCCAACATGACTTTTATTAGTCTCAAAGCTAGAATTTACTCAATTTAGACAAGATCAACAGGTAACCATGTAACAGTTTCTAATTCACCATTTCTCTCTAGAGGAAACTGGAAAGAAACAAAATTAAATTCAAAAAGATAAAGCAAGAAGACTAAGAACGGAAAATCAACATACAGTACAAAAAATAAGACTGCAACATAGACCGGAGAAGGCTAAAAAATAAGACAAGGTCACAGCATAAGTATATAACGATAGATCAGCACCAAAATACAACTGATCACTAATAACCATACTCTCGCCTAGTGAATGTGAAGAGTTGGCCACCTGAATATTCAGGAAAACAAGGTGCTCAAAGGCTAAGACATGAATATGGATAAGCATTGGCTCAGGCTGAGAGAGTCCAGTACAGACCAAATATATACATAGGAACTGCTACCAAAACTAAAGTAGCATCATCCAAGCAATCAGGGCATGCAAGGAAAAAAGACAAAAAACAAGCCCTTTTATTTATCAAAGTGTCCCTGGTGCATTGTCCTTTTCTGCAGATGCATTGACAAAAAGTCCACAGTAGTGATATATATGAAGTAACCCTGTATGCAAAAGGACATCTGTATATAGCCACATATACAACCTATACTATACATTCTTTACTGAGATATAATTTATAGAAAAAGGTTCACTAGTTGGGTCAAGTAGGGAGCTTCCCTACATGAACCCACTTATTTCTTCCATGTCGAAGGGTCTTTTGGCCAATCAAGACCTCAGACTTGAGACCCACTGCACTGGGCATATGTTCAATCCCATAGTTCATCAGCCATATGCCCCAACTTGTATTGGAGGTTCTCACAATAAAGTCTACCTATAAATGTGGTCTCATTTTGCACATGTGGAAAAGTGTTTTGGGCTGATTTTTTTCCCCACAAATAGAGGATAACTCTCAGAAACTCATTTTGAGCTCCAAATTAATTTGCCACATGTAAGATTGCTTGGTTGTCTAAGGAAGTTCACTATATGATCTGACTAACAGACTCACTCCCATGTTATATAAAAATAAAATGTTTGTATCTGTATATGGGTATACATGTGCGTATTGAAAAGTAAAATATCCATTGTATTGATTTGAGGGAGAGGACTCCTTCAAAATATATCTATACAAAAAGAGAGCTAAGTACTAAGCCCAGGTATAGGTAATATGCACATCTAGCTTAATGAAGCGAAAAAATCATTATCTGCCATAATCTGATGCCATTGGTTACAGAAATGAGAAAATCTAAAGTTATGAAACTGTGGACCTTGGACCAAAACTTGTCTCATCATAATATGTAGTATGTAAATATACAAGCATATGAGAAATTGAAGTATGTCTTAAGGGCTCTCAAAAATTGAGCTTAAAGAAAAAAAAAAATCTCAAAATACACACTTGTCTTACAAGTTTGGGTAGGCAGCCCAAGCCTGAAGTGCAAGTCTGAACCAACCCCATCATTCTGCCCCAATGCCCATTCCTAGGCCACTAGACATAAACCTCAGAAAGCAGGAATACCTGTTGAGTCCATTCAAGTGAATTTTCAGTCACTTTAATCTCCACATGGGTTGACTATCAAAAAAATCTCTACAAGGTTTAACTCAAGGGAATTACTTAAGTTGTGTATAGCTATGCCTTATTATCCATTGGTTCCAGACAGATTTGCTCCTCAAAGAATGCCCATCATATGCAGCTTGATATAATTGATTTATGATGGATCCAAGGCCAATTACCAGGAAACTGGGCCTAAATTCTAAAACTCATATAATAATTGTTACAGGTTTGGAATAAAAACATAAGGCCCTACAACGATTTGAGTTACATACAAAGTACATGAAATTATAAATTTAGGTCAAGAGACAAGGACACATCCTCTTAACAATATAAATCAAATGATTAAATACAGAAAATTATCAACTTTAACACCCTTACTGATAAAGAAGTAGAGATGTAGATCCATCTTTTTGGTGTTAGATACAATTAAATGATTAAATATTTGAATCTGATTAATATAATTATCACAATCTAAAGGTATCTAAATGCACCCCATGTCGGGTATCCAGTATTATTGGGACAGGACCACAACCAAGGGTTGTAACCATGAACTTGGAGGTCCAGACCTGAGTAGACATGGAGCTGACCTATTACCACCCCTAGCTACCAGCGGGGAAAAAACCAGAATGCTGTTAAATCATCTTTGACAATCTCTTCTTCCCAGGTTCTGTAGAATCATGGTTTAATGGTTCATTGATTCATCCTATACAGCCATTTCAACTCAGTCATCTCCTTCTGACATCAAGTACCTTTTAACTCATTCTATTTCTATTTCCTCAACCTTCAGTGAAATAAATGCATTTTTATAGATATTGTTTTTTATCGATAAATAAATACCATTTCTGTTTGCCAGAAAACCAAATTCACCAGCCTTCCCAGTCAACATATCTTACTAACTTTTGGCCAGATTTATCCCTCCCAACCATGATTCCTGTTTCAGCTGCTTTAAATTTAATATGGCATCTACATGATTCCTATTGACAGCTTGAACAGTTCTACCTCTTTGGTGTAACAAAGATAAACATTGGGATTCACCCTCCAAGGTTTTATGTAACAAGGATCAATGTTTTAAAATGTGGAGGCATGACACGAGGCATTCCACTACCTAGAGGCATGAGGCGTAAGCCTCCCGAGCACAAGGAGGCATAAGCCTCCTTAAGAGGAGGGCGATGAGGGGGGGAGGAAGAATAAGAGGAAGAAGAATCTCATTTTTCTTTATTTTTAATAAAAATCTTTTATATTAAGAAGAATGAAGATGCACAGTACTAGTTGAAAGAAGGATCTCATTTTTCTTTCCCCTTATCTTTTCTTCTCTTCCATTTCCTTTTTTTCTTTCTTTTTCTCTTTTTTTTTCTTCTCTTTCATTCTTTTTCTTTCCTTCCCTTTCTTTTCTTTTCCTTTCCTTTCCTTTTTTTTTTCTTTTTCCCTTTTCTTTCTGTCTTTTTATATGAGGTGTGCACGAGGCACATGAGGTGTATGCCTCTAGCACGCCTCATGAAAAAATGTGTACGAGGCACATGCCTCTTGCACCTGAGGCATACACCTCAGGGCGTTTTGGGGGCGCCTCCAGGCGTATGCCTCCCATGCCTTTTAAAACACTGACAAGGATAAACATCCTTCCAAAGAAATGACTTGAATCCAACTGCCATGTTAGTTGTTGCCTTGTTGATTGCTTTATTCTTTTCGTCATTTTGAACGAAGACAAAATTACACTAGTATTAAGAAAAACAAGAGGATGAAAAAGAAGCAGTGCTAGATCAGAGAGCCATGACTTACAGCTAAAAATTTGTATTCACGTGTTCCAGAAAAAGTTGGGTCCATTTCCTGCACAAGCAACTGTATTATTGAGTCCACACAACTCTACTTTAACTTCAAGATGTTGAAATTTAGAAAACATAGACCTCGTATCGCTCCAATGAGTTGTTTATTGCAACAACATCGCCCTTACAAAGTTGGCAAAGCCCAGCATTCAGGAGATAACCCTTAACGCTGTATTTCAGAAGATTATTGTTCATTGACTGTCGTGCTATTTCTTCATAAATAGCAATGGCTTTGTTATAACTGGAGGAGTGCAAACATAATGTAAGATTCCAAAGTAATAATATGACTTAGTGTCACAGAAAATTAAGTCAATACATTTCATATAAACATCAGAAGTCAATACAACATAACTTCAGGTAAAAGAAGGTACTAGTGTAAATCCATATTGATGCATAGCAACAGAAGAGCATACATCATAAGTCAATACATTTCATATAAACAGCAGACAAGTTTCTACGGATTTTTAAGAAGTTCTCAGTGGATGATATAATTAAGGGCTGGGATTCAGTAGCAAACCCTTCAAGATCCAGTTCAGCAATTCAGGAGAGTTGGACAGTTTCTACACAACAAAGTATAAAGATGAACTTCAATGGCAGCTAACTTGGCAACCCGGAACCTTCGGGTGTGGGAGTCGTCTTTAGAGATAGGGAAGGAAAAATCTTGGCTCTTTTTCGGGGACTATAGGACTGTGTGATTCGTTAAGAGCTGAGATGTTAGCTTTGCTGCAAGGATTAAGACTCGCTATACAGATGGGGCTACACCAGATTGAAGTGGAAAGGGATTCAAGGTTAGTAATAGATTGGATGAAAGCTGGAAATTTGGGAATCTGGAATCACAGGCAAGCTATGAGAAAAATTTGGTGTCTTACAAAGGAAATTGAAGCAGATTTCAAATGGGTTAGAAGAACAGTCAATGGCCCGGCTGATGCTTTAGCCAAACAGGGATCAAACAAGAGTAAACTTTTCTGGGCCGTATTGTAACCGTGAATCTGTTTTTGGGATCAGAATTCCAGCTATGGAATCGTAATTTTACGATTTAATGAATGAAAGTTACTATTTCCCATCAATAAATAAATAAATAAAAACATCAGACAAGTTGTTTTCCAGGGGAACTCCAGATCGAGAATGTAAACAAAATTTCTTTCTACAACCAATTTTTAGTTTGAAATAAGCATATGCATAGAGGTCACAAAAGATAATAAAGCTCAAAATGAAATATCATACATGCACCTTCATCAACAAATCATTGTCAGTTTTTTTTATCAATAACAACAAGATTTATATTAAGGATTTAAAATATAAGTACATGAGGTACAAAATGTACAAACAAATCATTGTCAGTTGATGCCTTGATGGAAATCCCATGCCTGAAATGTATAGCATTCATTGATAATGGCATGCATTTGAATGCCAATTGTAAGCCGTAGAGAGAGGAAACAAAGGGAAGGGGAGATGAAACAGCGGAAGGCTAGGCACATCTTTGTGGGGGGGGTCACATGCTGATGTATCATTGACCTAACAATAAGTTAGTGTGTTTGTCCTTGGCTATCCAGGCATCACTGCCTGATGAAATGGTAAAGTTACCAGCATATTTCTATATCTCATCTCAGGTACAAAGTGGGAAAAAGAGATAGGATTAAGTTCTGGACTGGTGTTTGGTGGGGTGACTCTACCTTGGCCACTTCCTTCCCTCGCCTTTTCAGCCTTACCCTTAACCAAGAAGCTCACATCTCCCATGTTCAAACCTTAGATGACCTTTGAGAGACTTAGAACTCAATGAAGTTAATAGATTTCTGCACACTCAGAGAAGTGTACCTATCCCCAAAATACCCCTGATCTTCAAGTCTGGACCCTTCACCCAACTGGTAAGTTTTCAACCAAGTCTTGCTTCAGGGCTCTAATTGATGAAGAACAAACAACTGAGCAGTTCAACTTCAAGAGAACTTGGTGCTCCCATATTCCTTCGAGAGTTTGCTTTTTTGTGTGGGAAGCTAGTCTGAAGAGGATCAGTACTTATGTTCTCCAGAAAAAGAACCATGGAGATTATTATTTATCCCCACATGTTTGCTTCTTTTGTTTAAAAGCTGGGGAATCATCCAACCACATACTGCTACACTGTGAGGAAACAAAGAAATTTTGGAATTTCTTCCTCACCCTTTTTAATTACAGTTGGACCTTCCCAGAGCATGTGGTAGATTGTCTCAGACAATGGACAGGAAGAGGCTTAAGTAAAAGAGGGAAGACATTGTGGCAACCAGTAGCTCATGCTGTCCTTTGGAGCATATGGGAAGAGAGAAATAATCGTCTTTTCAACAACAGAATAAAAAACCATGAGGAACCCATGTCCATTTCTCATAGATGCTTCCTCTGGACTTCCAGTTCAGAGTACTTTAAAGGAGTCTCCATCTCTGATCTTCAAAGGAATGCCACAAACTTCCTAAATTCTAAGCATTTGTATTTCACCCCCCCGTATCTGCAGATCTGTTGATGAAGGGGAGATAACCTTGTATTTTGATGGAAGCGCCTTCCAGGTGCAGCAGGAATTGGAGGTATTTTTAGAAGAAGAGATGGTAGAATCAATTGGGCCTTTAGTGGACCGATTGGGATAGCCTCTTCAACAAAGGCTGAAGTCATGGCAGCCTTAACTGGAATCAGGATTGCAAGAGATCTGGGTTATTTGAATATCACCATCAAAGGAGATTCTGCAAATACTATCCAGTGGTTAGCTGATCCTAACGGAGATCCCTGGGCTTTAGCTCACTTCTTGGATGAAGTAAGAGTCGTCCTTTCCAATTTGGACGCACAGTTGGGTTGGGTCCCTAGGGAGCCAAACTCTGTTGCTGATGGTCTTGCAAAGGCTGGTTGTTCACAGGGATTAAATGTTTAGTGATAGTTTTCTCCCTGTACAACTCTTTGGGTTTGTAGTTTCTGTGTACATCTCCTCATGTACTCCTCTCCCTTTGAATAAAGTTACTATCTTTTCAAAAAGTATATATATTTCAAAATCTCTCCATTGAATAAATACATTTGGGATCAACAATTACATAGTGTTTTTTTTTTTTTGAAAGTGGTAAATTCTATTTCTGGCTATAGAGGCACCTGGCAGAGTATGAAGTTAAAAGCTCAGGCTCTAGGTTTTCCTGGTTGGGGCTTCACAATTAAATGGAAGTACAAGAGTTTGGTGATAGAGGGGCCTTGACTCTGTTTATTCCAGGGTGGTTAAAGTAGTCTCGAGGGGCTTTGAGGCAGCTTTCACTCTCTGTTTGAACCTTGAACAGAAACAAGAGTTTGGTGGTTGAGGTCAGAATGCAAGATAATAAAACAAAGGATTGACCGTGCTATGAGTTCACTCGTTTCTCTTAAACGGAAGTACCAGTTGGGACAAGTTTTTTTTTTTTTTTTTTTTGAAGGGTGAAGAAGTTGGGACAAGTTATAGAATGACATATTTGGATGAAGTAATTCAAACAAAATATGAATCCATTATTGGCAGGAAGAGAAGATATTAGCAATTATCTCCAGGAGATACAATTTTTTTTATCAGTAAATGGTAATGATTTTATTCATAATAAAACCAATATGTAGGGTATGTTACTTATCAGGTATATTACTGTAGTATATTTCTATCCCTTCTTTACATTAGAGCTAGTGAGTGCTGGCTCTATCCTTCTTTTGTTTATATCCAAGGCATTAAGTTGCAGGTCTTCTCTCTAGTCATTGTAATGGTTTTCAGTTTTTATATTATTAATGAAATTTTACTTTTTCCTATTTAAAAATATCATAATCCATGGATCTATACAGATGATGATAATATGATATTCTGAAGTATGCATCATGAAAATAATAGCCCCATCAAGCATTTTTTGATTGCATGATACGGTTTGTATAACTAAAGGGGTTGAAGCCCAATCTGTCTTGATAGGCAGGATGGTAGGACCCTTCCCCAGATGTATACTCATTGTACACAGGCTTGTACTTGCTTATCACAATTTTTGAATGAAATACAAAAAGTTTTTCTTATGCATCAAGGAAATGTAGTTACTTTTATTGTGGTCTAAACAAATCAAAAGAGTACTGATACTATCTAACTCTATGTAAAAAAAAATAATATTTAGCAGATGGTGGCTTTACTTTTCTAGCTGAGCAGCAAATTGTGCAACTTTTAGTCTGCATTGATTTGCAGCAGATGATGACTCTTCACTTTGGAAAAATTCAGCAGAGCGGTCAAAGAAAATAATAGCTTGCTCAAAGTTTTGTTCAAGTTCATATAGCTCTGCAATTTCCTACACATGCAAATGTAAACCTAGACCATTAGCTACCTGGCAAATATAAGTGCATCATATACAAGAATATGACAGAATGCATAGAGGATTGAGATTTGGGGAAAGAAAAGAAAATAGGAGATACAATTTTAGAATTTGCAATAGTTTATGATATGGCAATAATAAACACATACTTTAAAAAGAAAGATGACATTTGCAATAGTTTATGATATGGCAATAATAAACGCATACTTTAAAAAGAAAGATGAACATTCAATAACATTAATTCAAGTTAAATAGACTTTTCCTTGTTACCAGAACAGAATGCATGATGTGCAAAGACTACAAAGTTATTCTAGGAAAAAGCTTAACCACACAACATAGATTAACAATAGTAGAAATGCACATTAAAAGATGAAAAAGAGAGAAGAAAATGGGTTTCCGATAATTAGGTGGGTAAATCTAAAAGTCGAAAAACATGCACAAAAAAATAATAAAAGAGGTTTAGCAGAATAAGGAAAATCTTAAAGAAATGAAGAAACTTGGTGGTGGAATAAAGAGATTCACAATATATCAAAGCAAGACGGACATGTTATAAAAATTAACAAAAGACCAAAAGTATAGAAAGGCTGGAAAAATATATAAACACACAAAAAAAAAGAAGTTAAAAAAAGTGAGTAAAGTCAAACTTAAGGCTTATAACAATTTCTATCATAAACTAAGTATTAAAGAAGGAGAAAATGGAATAGGTAAACTTGCAAATATAAGAGAAGGAAAAAAGTAGAGATCAAAATCGTGTTAGATACATTGAAGAGGGTTATCAAGGTGTCTTGATAAACAATGAAGAAATCAAGTAAAGATAGAAAAGTTATTTTAAAAAATTACTAAATGAAGAACATATAGAGGGTGCTAGTGGGGGAGGGGTTAATAAATAACAACTATAGTGTGTAGAGAAAGTCATGAGGGATTTCTTGCGGGAGTCGGGGGAAGGGAGGAAGGATCATGTGGTTAGGTGGGAAATAGTGTGTAGGAGGAAGGAGCAGGGGGGTTTGGCATTAGGCAATCTAACGAAGAAAAATACAGCATTATTAGGCAAATGGATGTGGAGGTGGCCTCTAGAAAGGGAGAGACTTTGGCATAAAGTTGTAAGGAGTGTGCATGGTGTTGCAAACAATGGCTGGGATGCTGGTGTATCTCGGCGGGCAACGTTGAAATCTCCATGGAAGGCTATTCATAGTATTCTTCCCGTTTTCCTGAACCTGATCAGGTATGATGCTTGTACTGGAGATAGGGTTTTGTTTTGGGAGGATGTTTGGATTGGTGACTTTGCCCTCAAGGACCTCTTTCCCTCCTTGTATTCCATCTTGTGTTTTAAAAACGAGCCAATTCAAAGGTTTGTATCCTCCTCTTTTTCTTCTGGTATAAACTGGAATCTGGGTTTTAGAAGAGATTTGAGAGATTCTGAGCTTGACCAGGTTGCTTTGCTTCCTTGTGCTCCTCTCCGTTGCCTCAACCTTTTCATAGCAAGGAAGTTTGGTCCAAACCTGTCCCTCCTAAAGTGGGAGCCCTTTGATGGGAAGTCTCCCTTGGGAAAATCAACACTCAGGATGTTTTGCAAAAAAGAAGACCTAGTCTTTGTATCTCTCCTAACTGGTGCACCCTATGCAAAGCAAATGAAGAAAGTTTCTACCATATACTAATCACTTGCCCTTTTGTTGTAGGACTTTGGGAAAAGCTGTTTGATCTTTTTGGGTGCAGGTAGACAGAACTGGAGCAGATTTGCAATTTTTTTGATCCTACAACTTTCAGGTGGCCAAAGAGAAGAGGAAGAGTTTTGTGGAGGTGTGCTAGAGTTGCTTTGGTGTGAACTGTGTGAGAGGAACGAAATGCTAGAATCTTTAATGACAAGGAGAGGGATCAGACATGTGTGTAGAATAGAAAGTATCTTATGTATAGCCATAAGCTGGGTAAAATCCTTGACCTGTTCTCATCCTACACTTTTGATGATATAAGGAGGAATTGGGAACAACTAGCTAAAAGTTCTGCAGTCAGAAGCAAGCCGGTGGTGGATTGGAAGCCTCCTGATGCAGGCTTCATTAAATTAAATTTTGATGGCAGTAGTTTGGGCAACCCGGGGCCACCTGGAATAGGGGTAGTCTTTAGAAATGATGAGGGTCAGATTGTAGCTCTATTTTCCGGTCCTATAGGGTTGGGAGATTCAGTAGATGCAGAACTCCAAGCTGTGACACAAGGAGCAGAAATTGCAAAAGAGTTGGCAGTGGAGCATTTAATAATTGAAGGTGACTCCAAATTGGTTGTTGGATGGCTAAAAGAACCAGAGATGGCAGCCTGGCTGTACAGGGGGGCTTTGAGAAAATTTAAGTGGCTAACATCAAATATTTCAGTCACAGTTCAATGGGAAAGAAGATCGGCAAATGGGCTGGCAGACTTCCTAGCTAAACAAGGAATACATAGGAATCAGCTCTTTTGGGCTCAATTGTAAGCTTTATGATGTAGTTTGGAGGCTGCACCCCGCGCCTCTTTGTGGGGAATTGTATGATGCCTACTTAGTTCTTTAATTAATAAAATTATCATTATCTATCAAAAAAAGATACGAAAAAGTACGGACAGGCCCAATGCAGATTTCTGAATTCCACTGCAGAACTAAACATTCAAAATGTCAAAAACCCACACTCTATACACCAATGCCCACCCGTGAATTGGCATCAATTCCGAGCTGGCACCCACCCCAACTGTACTTTGGGCCTAAAAATTCTGACCCTGAGCTGAACCGTCATTCTCCCCAAAAAATAATAACTATACCATTATAAAGTTAATAGATACTGTAGAGAAGATGGGCCTAATGGCCCATAGGCTGTTTATCCTTTTTTATCTTTTATGTTCTTTGCTATAATGGGCTTTAATCTGGGCTTTATTCTTTCTTATGTTATGTCTTTAATTTTCTGCCCAACTAGGGGCTTCTCTGTAAATTACCAAAGTTTAACTTAATGAAATAGAATTAAGGGAGTAAGAGAAGAGATTATGTTTGAAAATCTCTCTCTTTGAACCCAA